GGAACTGAGAATTTCAGTTCACGCTCCTTGTATTTCAGCTGGTTTCATGGGGTATATATATATTTTTTAAAAAGGTAAATATAGTTACAGTGTTGCACAAACTACATTTGTTTATCATTTCCTAACAGTTTATAATGTTTTTTTAATTAGTTTACAGTGCACGTTTTGTGCAGTCGTCCCTGACTGAATGATTGCAGGCATTCTTTGTGTAATGTTAGGATAAAGCACAGCAAACTTCAGCTAGTTGTAGCCTATACATTGATTTCAGTTCTTTGTGCCCTTCATTTGTAGCTTGCGATGCTTTAAAACGGTGTCTGTTATTAGTGGTTATCATTTGTTGAATACATCACTGCCTGCAACAAATGAAATAAACCTATAAACGTATCTGTGGACTTTATTATTATTATTTTTTTTGTATGCTGGTGTGATGATCCATGTCTTAACATTCTCCATGTTAGGGTTAGGGTTAGGTTAGTGAATTTTATCTGTTTGTGAATTATCTGCTGTCTGGTTGTAAACTATGATACAATCATACACTGCTGCAAAAACATGTTGCTGAAATTTCTTTCTTTTTTTCATGTTTCCAATTTCCAATTTTTACAAACAAATGTAAATTTACCAATTAAGATTAACACAAGGTTTATGGTTCCATTTGCACAGTGAAACCAACAATCCCAGAACACCTGGATGACGCAACTACCATTTCACATGTTTATTTTTATGCTCTTCTGTTACCTTTTAAGGTTTAAAACTGTCATATTCTGGCAATGAATGAAATGACATTCACCACCATATCAGTGGCCTAATAAACATTTTGCAACCTACACTGATGTTATTCTGTGTCATCTGTTCTTTGACCATGTGTTGCACTGTACCTGGATGATACACGATGATCATTGATACAAAAAACACTCATGCAACATTATTTATAGTCTAAGTCATAAAGTTTCATAAACATATATAATCTTAATTAGGCTTTTTTTCTACATAAACTGTTCCCTCCTGGTGGAATGACCTGCCCAACTCAATTCGAGCAGCTGAGTCCTTAGCTATCTTCAAGAAACAGCTAAAAACACATCTCTTCCATCTATATTTGACCCTCTAACACTTGCACTCTCTATTCGTTTTCCAACTGCTTGTGTTCTTTAAAAAAAAGGCCTCTAACACTAGCTTTCTCTATTCTTTTTCTATTCTATCTACTTGTTTTCTTTTTGTTGTGTATGT